TACGAAATTATAACAATATATGATTTTATAAATGCAATGAATATATACCACATACTACGCGAAAATGTTACGTCATGTACTTAAATTCATCTTGAAAAAAACGTCTAAAATACGTCTAAAACGCGTTTTTATAAAGACGTCTTCATTTAGACGTCTTTTAGCCTTATGATCTAGACGTCTACAAGTGCGCCTTTTAGACCTCCTTAAAGACATCTTTAAAACGTCTTTTAAACGTCTTTGTGCTTACTGGGTAGATTATTTTTTTCTTTAATAAGTTTTTATTACCATTTTTCAGACCATCCGCAGCATTTTGTCTCTTGCCGAATTAGTTTTTTAAAAAGTTAAAGTTGGCATATAAAATCTTTCTTTTATATGAAAGAAAGTTGTCTCTGTTAAACATATTCTGCATGTTAAACGCCCAACCACATTACCGACGTAAGTTGTTTATTATAAACAATAATAAATTAATTATAAGGACATAAACTTTGTGTGCTTATAATAAGTTTCTTTTTATCTCTATTTTGATTTATGTGCAAAAATATTTCAATTGTCATCTCATGTTTTTAAAAATTTTAAAATGTTTTCTCCCTTGCGTTAGTTATAGAATATGTTGTTTTTATATATAGGTTATGCATATAATATCCATAATATTTTTAAAATGTTTTTTTTTTTATTCGAGAAAAATTAAAAATAAAAATTAAGCCACAATAACGGCGTGTACATCTGTGTATCATATCTACAACGTGTATTTATACATCATATCTACAATGCCTTGTGCCTTATCAGTTTAAAGCGTCCTAGTCCTTTCATTATTATACCGAGTATAATGCTATTTTAATAGTTTTCTAAATTCTGTCATTATTGCGCACTCGTTTTAGAATGATTAATGGGGGTGTGGTAAAATAGCTGTAAAACTTTAAATTTCCGTATTACCCTAATATTATGTATTTTTAACTTTTTATTACTTTTAAAAAATATAGTTTTAAATAAAATAAATTGGTTTCTTTTAAATAGAAAGTTAGAATTTTGAATTATGTTCTTAATAAAAAAATATTGTTATTGCTGTTTAAAAAAAGTGAACGCCGCCGCATGGCAAGTTCAAGTCATCAACTTGCTTTTTTAAATGATTGTTATTTAAAATGCAAAACAAAATAACTATCTTTTTTTCAAAACATACTTTTTCCTTCGAAAGCGTTTTACTTCGAATTTTAAAAAAATCAAAAAAGATTAAATTTAAAAAATAAATAAATAAAAAATCAAATGGTAGGAGTCGAACCTGGAACACCTGCCTCATAGCAATGCGTGCTAACCACTCGTCGACGCAGACTTATCGTTTAATGTAATTTTAAAAGTATAAAAAATATTGAAAGTTTTATCAAACGGAATTTAGTGCCACAGAATTTAGTGCCACAGATCAAATATTAAGAAGATGTTGCCGCAATGCAACTTTCAAGAAAAAGTAAAACTAAAAAACTTGATATATGTTTAGTATGTTTTTAACATTACATAATTTTAAGTTTTTGCGTAACGAAATCGATGGCAAACGGACGTTTTTTTTTTAAACAAATAAAATCAAAATGGAAAAATTTAATATCACTCGAATAAAAGAAATTTTAGATATGCACGAAAACACACTACTGAAATGTTGTGGAGCAAAAAATGGAGCAAAAAATACTTGCAGTTCAAAAAGAAAATAAAATCTTAAAGCAAGAAGTTTATAAACTTAAAAAATAGGTGGAATTTGTAAGTGAAAAATATGAAAATATTTTAGTTGATGTTGCGGAACCTAAAACGAAAACAGCAACAAATAAAAATATTATAAATGAAAGTAGTGAAGTGAAGAATAAACTAGCTGAACTGGAAGATCGAAGTCGGCGAAATAACCTCAGGTTTAATGGACCTCCAGAGAGCGAGAACGAAAGTTAAGAAGAAAGCGAAGAAAAAATAAAAGAACTTTTAAAAGGTAAAGAGAAAAAAGCGGTTATGAATAATTAATGTAAATTAAAACTTTGAACAGATCATATTTACGTTCAACAAAGATTTCAGTGAAAGAACGACGGAGATCAAAAAAAAGTTGTTTTTAGAAGCAAAAAAGTTTTTCAAAGCTGATTTATAATAAATTATTTACGCGTGAGTTTTGATAGAAATTGTTTTATTTGTTTGTTAGTTACTAACTATAACTAGAATGGCTTCAAGGGAACTAAATTTTGAAATAACTTCTCTAAATTTTTTACAAACAAATAATTTTGTGATGAAAATTCTGACCCAGATCTAAGTTACTTTAATGTGACTCATTCTTTGCAGAGTAACTGCTCTTAATTTTTTCACAATTAAATAAAAAGATTTCTTGAGCGAGACCAGTTAAATATTTTGCATACTAATATAAGAAGTGTGAACCAAAAATTTTGAAGCTTTTTTAAATAATATGGAGGATATTCTCGATATTTTTAACATAATATGCATTACAGAAACTTGGTGCAATTCTAATGAAGTCGATTAAAAAAACAAAAAAACGATTAGTAAAACAAAAAACGTGGCGGCGGTATATTTATTTATATAAAAGAAAATTTGCAGTTTGTTAATAAGCTTGATTAAACCGTTTCTGATGACGATGAAGAGGTTTTAACAATTGAAATATTAACCAAAAAAAATAAAAATATTTTTTTGAGTTGCTTCTATCGCCCACCAACTGGTGTAATAAATATTTTAATTTTTTTTTAAATGAAGTTATTTTTAAAAAAAATTACCACCAAAAGAAATTAAACTATTTTGTTGGTGATTTAAATTTGGATTGTTTACAGTATCACTAAAATACAACATTAAAGAGTTTTACAATGGCTTACTTAAAAACGGAGCGTTTCCGATAATAACGAAATCGACAAGAATTACTGAATCAACGATTTCATTAATTGACAATATAATAACGAACGATATTTTTAATCATTCTCTTAAAAAAGGAATAATTAAATGCAATCACAGATCATTTTGCGATTTTTTTCTCCATAAATACAGATACAAAAATAATACTAGATAATAAAAATAGCTTTTTTATACGCATTTATAGTAATGCAAATTTAGCATCATTTAATGACAAAAAATTTTTTTGACTTACTTGAAAAAAACATAAACAACTCAAAACGGACTTGGGAAATTTTAAGAGAAATCACTCGTAAAGCTAAAACTAAATCAGGCGCTTTGCCTAACGGTATTAAAGTTAATGATAAAATTTTATATGCTTCAAGCAATATTGCAGTTGAACTAAATAAGCATTTAATTTTAGCGGGGCCTAACTTAGCAAAAAATATTCCTTATACTAGTAATTCTTATTTAAAATTTAAGTTTTTTATTAAGGTTATTACAATTAAGATTTGTTACTTTTTAAGGTATTACCTTGAAAAGTAACAAATCTTAATTGCATTGAAGTATCCATTAAGAAATTTGAAGCTGCTTTCAAAACGATTAAACCAAATAAAGCAATCGGATTCGACGGTATCAACAGTAACTTCGTTATAAATTCTTACAATTTTATTGAAAATATTCTATTTAAAATCTTTTTGTTTTGCGTTAGCCAAGGGATTTTCCCTGATTACCTTAAAATTGCCAAAGTAACGTCAATATTCAAAGGAGGGGATGAACTAATGTTAATAATTATCGCCCTTTCTCTGTTCTTCCTGTATTTTCAAAAATTTTAGAGAGAATCTTATATAACAAAATCAACACTCATCTTACTGTTAATAATATTTTATTTAATAATCAATATGGTTTCAAAAAAAATAACTCCACAGAGTATGCAATACTTCAGTTTACACGTAATATTAACGAGTCGTATAATAAATCTGAATATACATTAGGAATTTTTATTGATTTATCAAAAGCTTTTGATACTATCGGCCATCAAATTTTTATTAAAAAGCTCTAACTATATGGAATCACAGAAGCCGTTTTAAAATGTGTAACGAGTTATTTAAATAATCGTGGTCAATGTGTTATTTCAAAAGATATTTGAACAATAAATAAGTGTACTATAAATGGTATAAATTTGTTTGACGTTAAGTTGACAAAAAATCAATAATAATTTTTTTTTGAAATGTTAAGTGCACAATAACCTTAATAAAAAACTTAAATTTTATTGTCTATTCCCAGCTAGCACACATACGTTATTAAAACATTAGAACAATATCGCTTGTTTTGTTGGCCCAACATCGGCTGCCAATGTTGTTTTTATATCATTATGGTTAAAAATGCAACATCTAAACTAAACAACTAAACTAAACAACAACAACTAAAAACCAATGTTGATAAAACGCTTTTTTAAATTTCGTAATAGCTATATTTGGTCAAATACATTAGATCAACGTTGAAGTTAGTTCGTAAAAATAAACAACTTTTTGCGATGTATTTACATACATTGGATCAACGTTGATTTATCAACATTAAATCAACGTCGAAATATATACATTGGATCAACGTTGGGTTTAGATCATAAAAACAGTAAACTTTTTGCGTTGTTTTTACATACATTGAACCAATATAAATTTGTTAGATGTTTTTAGTTCCGTAGGTAATAATTTTATTATTAACCTGATGACATTGGATCAACGATGGTTTTGCATTATGAAAAAAGAGCCGACATTCACGATGGTTTTACATACGTTGGCCCAATGTAAGTGTGCTAGCTGGGTTGTTTTTATATATGATTTTTATTTGCAAATTAGTAAAAGATCTACTTGTTTCTTATTTGAGTGATCATAGCAATATTAATTCTTTTAAAAGTTCCTATTTTCAGTTTTTCTATTTTTTTTGAGTAACTTCTTTATGACATTACTTGCAATTGTTGAACTTTCGGGCCTAATTGTTTATGAATCCTATAACAACCAAAATTATTAAAAATTAAGAAAATAATGACAAACGAAGAACAAGAAACTCATTGATATCTCTCTAAAAAACAAGCAACTTTAATTTTTAGCTTAAAATTGTAAATAGATATGGAAAAGACTTACCACCATAAGCTCCGTGAACATAATTGTCAAAGGAAACAGATATAGTTATGCTTATCTAAAATTAAGATTTAAAGTTTTTATAAAATTTATGTTGTTATTTTTAATTGTTTAAGCTCAACTATATATTATTGGAATAAATATTACAAAATAAAAAGTTTATATTAAAAGTTTAAGCTTTCTTTAAAAAAGGTCTTCGTGCGGTAATTTTATGGACTGCTTTGTATATTTGTATATAATTTTATTGAATAGTTTCATATAAACAAACGCAGGAAAAGTTAACAAATATTTTTTGCCAATCCATCATGGTTCAAAATTGTCTTTCATCTTCACTACCTAAAAGGATATATTTAACTATTTTATGCTAAACAAAAATAGCACTTTTTTTACCATTACCATAATAATAATTTTTTTCAAACTTTTTTCATCGCAATTTTTATGTCAATATTCATGATATTTAACTGCTTTTTTTGCAAAGGCTTTTTTTGTAGTGAAAGACTTATTTTACTTGCGTAGTTTTTTTGTTGAACTTTTACTTTAAATGAGCAGCTAATGTATTGTAAAGATGGCTTTATTTTAATCGTTTACTAAAAAAACTGATCAAAATTATTCAGTTTTGCCTGAACTACAAATTTCGAAATAAAGCTAATTTAACGACGACTACATCCGTTATTTACATAAATATATCCATGATGGATATAACAACATAATTTTTTACAGTAGTTTGACTGACCTTCTTAATAATTTATTTAAAAAAACTGTTTTCCTATAATTGTTAGTTGAACTGAATAATACCTAGCAAAAGTTGTCCCAATTGAATGAAAGTTTATTGACAACAAAATGCGGGTTGACGTAAATTACATTTATTTAAAAGAAAAGTTTTTTTAAAAGGTTTTTATTGGTTTAAATTCAAAAAACACAACTTTTCTAGTATTCTACTACATAAAAAGTATCAATATTGTATTCTATCATTTTTCTATAAAATGATTTAGATGGTCAGCGACAATTAGTCATTTTTTTAAAGACAAATAATTAGGTGTTAAAAATTTGGTAAAACTTTCCAATTTGTTTTTAAAAGCTTTTTGATGGCAGTAAAAAGAGAATTTTTTAAGTCGACTGGAATAATATTAAAAAAAAAAATTAAACGTGATTTTGTCCCTTTAGATTCACAGACATACAGATTGTATTGCGAGAAAAGAAATGATATAGATTAAAGTAAATATATATTAAAAAAGGAATAAATCAACAGAAGATATAAAAAATTAAATTGAAAAATTTAATAAAGTTGCATGTAAAAAGCATTCATATTTTTGACGTAACTAATTCAAACAATTTTTCTGCTTGTAAAATATATATTATTCAAAGAATAACTTGGACGCCGTTATTAATTGAACTAATAAGTAGTTGTGATAAGTTTACATTATGAAAAGATACACAACTTAGCGAAAAAAATTTATTTGAAAAAAATTGTCCAACAAAAACAATTGGCATTTTTGAAACAACGTTACTCTGAACAACTATTATCTAAATTTTCAAAAAACCTTATGTCAACGTTTTTCAAAAAAAAAGGGGGTTAAACTGGCAGGTTAGGATTTTTTGGTGTTCAATAAGTAACTTCAAAAGATGGTGTAAAAGTCAATTTTTATAATATTGATCCTGGTATCAAATAAATTTTTAACCCAAAATCACAATGATAAGAGCCTGGTAACAATATACACCTGAAAAATTGGAGCCAATTTCCCAAATGTGGAAAAAAGAAAAAAATTTTTTGTATCTTAAATTGATCAAAGTTCATCTAAAAAACTATAGTATTTAAAAAAATTTCTTATCCTTTAAAAATAGCGACTAAGGAAAGTTTAAAGCCCCTCTATTTGAAGGGGTTGTCAACTTTTTCAAGGTCACAACTTTAGAACGTTAAAATAGTTTTTTACTAAATGAGAACTTTATCGATGAATTTTAGTCAAGTTCATAATAGTAGGAATTTTAATTGAAGTGCTATAACAGCTCCCTTCTCTAACAAATGCTCGGACGTTTGGGGCCAAATTTTTATGAGAAATTGTGTTAATCGCGGTAAAAAACGTTTTCATTACAAGTTAAATGTATAAACAACATTCCTGTGTTTTTTATACTTCCTTTTTGTGGTAAACCACCAAAAAAATATTTATACATATTATGAACTTTATTTATCTGCTGCAATAATTAATAAAACAACTTTAAAAATTGATTAGTATTGCTCGTATTTCAAAATACCTAAAGTTAATAAATTTTTAAAAAGATAATAGAGCTTTAGTCTGCCTAAATTGTTTTTTTTTAACTAAATCTCATTCGAATCTTGAGAAAACTATAAATAAAGATAAATAAACATTTTCTATATTTAATAAGATAGATAAACATTTTCTATATTAATTTAAATGAATTTTTTATTAAATAATACTAAATGAAAAATAATAATGAAGCCTTTCAACATTGTTCAGTTTTATAAAAATTAAAAAAAAAAATTATTTTCGAAAAAAAGTTGAATTTTTAAAAACTTATATATTAGTGATATTACAACATATTTTACATTACATTATCTTTCCAATAACAATCACAACATGCAACTACTTGTTGTTGTATCATGGATCTTTTGCTAAAAAAAGTCTAATTAAATACTAGATTTTTTTTTGACCAGTTCTTCTATTAACTGTAATATAGTATTTTAAATAATATAAATTATATATAGATTATATCAGTAGATATAATTTAGACAAATTTTTTTTAGAAAATAGATTTTAGATGCTTTTGAGAGCATAAGTCAGATTTTTTGTTTTATTGCTCTATTACTTTAATATTTAGTCTTTTGTACTCAGTACTCAATTATAGATCTTTATTATGCTACTTTGCTGTGGAGGTTGTTATGCATTCACAGTTTATTATTCAGTTGTTTTTTTTATATATTCCTGCTTGTTTCTTGCTTTTTATTGAGTCATTTTTTAGACAATCTCAACAAATAATGAGTTTTATTTTTGTTTTTTTTCTTTTGTTTTTTATTCTAATTCACATTCAACTAGACTGCAAGAAACTATAATTGGAAGTTTAGCAGATGCTACTTTAGCATTCGATTGTATATATGTTTGCCATAAAATGTCAGTAGTAAACAATAGTTCAAGAAAACAAAAAGCGGAGGACTCAGTGCGACGGTTGCCATTAATTAATATAGGAATGTTGACAGTAATGCGATATTTGTTTGCAATCAAGAAATGATATTTGTTGGCGTTGAAATTTACAAGCCACTTCGAGTCCCAATCTGTTACAGAAGTGAGATCAGATTCAAGATCGACTGGCCGTTTTAAGCGATCGAAAAAAGAAGACTTTTTGTCAAGACAGGAGTACAAAGTTTGATAACTCATCAGCAAAAAGAGCTAATTTAGATGTAGGTTGTCGGGAAGATCATTAATGTAGATAAGAAAAAAAAGAGGACTAAGGATAGAACCTTGAGGTACCCTAGTAGTTACTGGAAATAAAGGAGAGTATCTTTACTCAAGAATGACTCAAATATAGCGGTTAAAAAGAAACAATTTAATAATCTCAAAAACTTTCTCAGATGCATCATTTGAAGCAAACTTATAGCATAGGCCAGCATTCCAAACTTTGTTGAAAGCCTTAGATACGTCAAAAGATATGTCTAGACAAATGTTTATATCTTTTTAAATTGTTTTTTGATAATAGAGTTTAGATATGTTGATATGTAGATATTTTAGAAGCATTAGATATGCAATAGCCATTGATAGATATGTGTGAACTATTTAAGTTATTTAATCATTAAAAAGTTTTTAAATTATAAATGTTGTAATTTAAAATTGTCTTTCAGGTAAGTTCAACCAGCAGATTTGCGAGTTTGGTAAATTTTAACAACTTCAAGAGTTTAGTTTAATGATAGATGCTGACTAATGGTTATTGCTTTATTTGTACATGCTAAAGATATTTACTTTATTGATACATGGTAAATAAAGATGTTGTAACAAAAATATAAGTTGAAAACTTAGTAAAGTCTATTTTAGTAAACTATTGTTATACTACTATTGTAACTACCGGTAGGGTTTATATATTATGACATTTCAAAATGGTTTATATGACAAACTATTATTATTTTTTTGTTTACTACACTTTTTTTTTGTGTGGCATCTTTATCTGTTTAAACTGGTAAGGTTTTTTGAAATTTTTTTTTAATATGATTAAAATCTCAAAATAACTTCAAGATTTGTATACGTTGTTGCGACTATTTTATATGTAAAATTTTTATATGTTTTAAAGTTATATGTTTTAAATTTTTTAATCTTACTGGTAAGGTTGTATATTTTTACTTTGCAACATGATTTCAATTCTTGCAGTATATTTTGTACTGATCCAACTGATCAAGTTTACATATTTTAACTTTGTATTATGATTTTTATAGCGAAATAATTAAAAAAAAAAACTATTAATTTTTTTTTTCTTTTAGTGCCATCATCATTTGTTTAAACTGGTAAGGATAAATATATTATGATTTTTTTTTTTAAATTAAAAATTAAAGGACTTTAGAAGATTTTTAAAGACTTTTTAGGTGATTTTACTGGAAAACTTGGAAAAATGAACAAAAAATTGAAGATACATTAGGAGGATTTCAAAATATTTTTTAATGCAATATAAATATTATTCAAAAATTTTCATGAAAATTTAAAAGTTAAAGTTAAATGTTTAAAGTAAAGTTAAAGTTCAAGAAATAAACTTTTTTGAAATTAAAGTATTTTTTAAGAGAATTTATGTGTTTCAGGAGGTTTCTCAAACTTTAGGATATTTTAAGATTTATTAGGAGTCGTGGCCAACCTGTTTTAAAAATAAAATAATTTAATATTTTTGTTTCTGTTATATTTTTTACTTATTTGTTGTTTAACTTTAAATAACAAATCAGATAATTCATAATTTAATTTTTTTTTAATGTTAGGGTTTGTTAAAACATCATTAACATATTTACCCTGAGTTTTTTTTAACATGAGTTCATTCTTTCATTCAACAACGTTCTTCAAGTTTTATTCATCA